TGCTGCTTGGCCTGCTGTGTTCATCCAGCTCTGCACCTTGTTATCTCAGATTCTCCAGCATCTGCAGTTCCTACTATCTCTTGTATTTATTTCTGTTTTTGACTACATTAATTGTGAGACTAGGATAGTCAATGATTAAAGTTACAAAATCAGAAATTGCTTGCGAAACTCAGCAGATCTCACAACATGTGTGATTCTTCTTCAGAACTGCAGCAATTTCTGTTTTTTCTGTTTCAAATCTCCAGCATCCACAGTTCTTTGTTTGATTACACTCATTAAAATTGTCTGATTATGAACACGTTTATGGATTGTTAAGGTTTACAAGATAAAAGATATGGAGTGAGAAAGATTACCTTTATTCTGAGTTACCAAGTTTTCCTTTTATGAAATAAGCTTCATATTTCACCTTGTCCTTTTTTTCTTTACATTCTTTTATAACCTGATATTCTTCAAATAACAGCCTTTGAAGGTGGATGCTATTTGTGCCTCTAAGATCTTGTGAAGTGAGATAAAAGGCCCTGAAATTATGTCATTGAATTCTAATGTGTGAATATTTAAACAGTTGTTTTGAAATTACTGTCTCCACTATGTTAATTATGGTATTATTTTAAATTAATTAACAACTTTTGCATTGACACATTTCAAACAAATGTATTAAGTGTATTTGTGTGATTGTATGCCATGGCCCCCTTTCAGTGTCTAATTACAAAACCTTGCAAAGTGCAGTCTGTAGCCACCAGTGATAGCAGAGTCATAGTTTAAGGTCAGAAGAAATTGGCTCATGTAATTTTCATCCATTTGAGGTAGTAAGACAGTGGAGCAGAAATTCCCAGGTGTCTTTTCATGATGTGTATTGAGTTAAAAGATCTTAGCCGGTTAAATAGACAAGTAGTTTCTACACTGGAAGAATCTAATCCATCAGATTTCTAGCCCTGATCACTGTGCAGAAACTCCTGCTAAAAGTGCACATTTGTGGAAATGAAATACTGAGAAAGTCAGGATTAGCTGTGTTTTTTTTTACTTAATCATGAATATTCCCTTTTAATAGTCTGGCTAGTACATGAATAATGGATATTTGAATGGGTGTCCTACAGTATGCCTGGCTTTTGCAGAACCTTGCCTCAATTGATCTGACATCCAATAGTCAGGAGTGAACGGACAATTTTTTTTCATAGATAAGAAAACATTAACTTTTCATCCTTTGTCCTCCCCTGAATAGGTAGAGACTTGTTGGAATTTGGTTTTAAGAATATGAGCAGATGTTACCAAAGCAGTAATTTTTCAGATGCTGCTAGACCCGTTGTGTATTTCCTAACGTCTGAAGTATATTGCTTTTTGTGAATTTGACTTTGAAGAGTGTCACATTGGGCACACGCCTGGCTTGAAACCCTTTTCTCTCTTTGGCTTGGAGGTGCGAAACCAAATAATAATAATGATTGATGTGAATGTTCAGGGTAGACACTCTTAACAGTATTCTAAGAATCAAAATTGGGATTTCTGATCTCAGTGACTTAGTACTACATGAATCATTATGTTTAGCCATTAATCTACCAGGGAATGAGAATTTTCTAAAAAAAAATGTAATGGAGAAAAAAATACTTTAAGTGATTGCTTTTTATTAAACAGGACATTGGAATAGAGAGAAATAGAGGCCTGGGTTAAATCACTCCCAGGCTTCAGACCCTGGTAACAATGTTCTGAGAAAACATCCAGCAGAACTCGGGTGTTTTTCCACTGGAATCAGGTGAGGTGTCCTGTTGAAAATGCTGTCATGCCTCCACGTTACCAGTTTTGAGCAGCATCAATAGAGGATTCTTGGAGCAACTTGTGTTGGAAGTGACAGGATCTGCACAAGTTCAGATCAGCGGATAGAAAGGGTTTAGAGTCCAAATAAGTGTATTTTATTTTAAATCTAACAGTAAAATGTCAAACCTAAAAGAAGCGGTATAATCTTAACATATTAGTTTTAAAAATGTTTATTAATATCAGTCAGAAATTTTTGTAGCAATTGTTTCTTTAAATGTAGTAATCTACGTTTAAGCACTGTGGGTTCAAAACTCCATTTTAAAAGGAAGGAGGCAACATATCACAGCTCAGTGTTTATCAAAAACAAAAGAACTGCAGATGCTGTAAATCAGGAACAAAAACAAAGTTGCTGGAAAAGCTCAGCAGGTCTGGCAGCATCTGTGAAGGGAAAAACAGAGTTAACAGTTCTGAGGAAGAGTCACCGGATCCGAAACGTTAACTCTGTTTTATCCTTCACAGATGCTGCCAGACCTGCTGGGCTTTTCCAGCAACTTTGTTTTTGTCAGTGTTTATCAGTCGGGAGCAAGAGAGACAAGAAGCTGCTGATATCCATAAAGTTATTATATCTAGGCTCGTCTGATGGCTTTGTATTGCTGCAGTAAGTTATAACAACCGGTTGTATTTATATAACACTCCTTCATGTAAATAAGTTCTAAGGCACTGCACAGAGGTGTAATCAGTGGGGCAAGAAAGGGCAACAAGTCAAAGAAGGAAAAGTGATCAAAAAGTGGGTTAAAATTTGGAATATATTAACATTCTTAAGAAGAGAGCAAGGTGTTGGAGCTTAGGAAGCAATACTCAGAACATTTGGCCTTTGCAGGACTTTGGGCTGAATGACAGCAGAAATGGGGATAAATTAGGCTATTTAAAGTGACTTTAAAAATAGCAACAAGAAATTTAAATTTGATAAGTTGTGAGAAGGGGAGGGACTGCCTACGATCAAGGACCAGAGTGATATATGAGTCAAGGACTCATCAAAAGAAAGATTTTATAAAACTTGCCTACAATAGCATTCAGTGGCTAGATAATCAGATTGTTGTATTTTTCTTTATGTTCTGAAAGGGGTTTTTGAACCAAAGGGTGGAAAAAGCTATTTTTCAACCACCTAGAAGAAAATGCTTTTCAGCGTGCTGAATTGAGAAACGTGGCTTCTATGCATCATTAGTCTGCAAATCCTTATTGTCCCATACCTTTGTTTCTCTACTTATTACTTGGAATCCTTTGTGGCTATTTGCAGCTGTTATTTAACCATTGTTGAGCTTCTATTTTTAAAGAATTTTCCTATTGTTGTGTTAGAGAGCGTGAAATTGTAGATTAGTTCACAGGAAGTCATATGGCTCTCTGAAAAGTAAAACTTAGATCCATCAGCTTACCATTTACTTGTACTCCTTTAAGTTTTTCTATTTCAAACACTTTATCCACTTCTACTATAAAACTTAATGATAATTCTTTCCTGGTGGAGAATTCCTTGCCCTGACGACTATATGTAGAAAAATAGTTTTCCTAACTTGCTCCACTCTTGTGCTCGTCTTTAATCTTAACTCATTGACAACTCAATGGACATGTTAATAGAAGAAGCAGTTTTCCTTAATTCAATTCATTGAAACCTCTCAATTTTGAACATCCGTGTTAGATTCTGAAATTTAGAAAAGTTTGCTTCCCTCCCGAACAAAAAAAACCTCAATGTTATCTTACTTTAAAACTTAATTTCTAGCTTCTTGCACTTTTTATCAATGCAATGTCAACTCTGGTAGATAAATTGTTATTTTCTCGCCAATCCCATAACCTCATCCATTGTTATTAAAGTAGTTTGGTAAAAAGTTCTGTGAATTGAACATACTAATGCAATATTTGTAACTCTTCTTGCTGTATACTAGTTTACATTGTCTTAAAAAAACTCTCGTGCCTTACTTGTAAATTTGTGTTCCACAGCTTCAGTTAACATCGGAACACTCCAAGATTTAACTCGGATCTGCATTCGGCGGACTCTTAAAAATACAATAAATCAGGACAAGTCAAATGGTGGTGTTCCTCCAAAGGCTGTTTCCAGATTTAAAAGAAGACGGATTCGAAGGCGACGGATGGATGCAATTGTCCTTGTTGACAAGCAGGTTTTTGCAAATCGAATTTCAAATCCTTTTGATAACAACAATAATAATGGTGAGGACATGGAGGATGTTAGGAGAGACGATGATGAAAAGGAATACAACGACTTTAAACCTGATCCTCCATTAAATCTGCTTCGAGAAAAAATTCTCAGTTTGCCTTTACCCGAGCCATTAAAATTATACCTGTTGTATTACAGAGATAAATAAGTCTTGGAAATGACTGCTAGTAATAACTGTAATATATTGCACATAAGCTAAAGTTTGAAAAATATAGGGGACATATACTGCAATGAAAAAAACGTGAGCACTTTTACAGACTTGGTGGATTAGCAATTTCCTTTTAATAGTTTATTACTAACTAGACTGGTTTCTCCCATTTTAAAAATGCTCTAGCATTATCCCTGTAAAGTATTTTCAAAACTTTATGCTTGGCTCTGCTGTACATTACTGCATCATTTATGGCAAGCACTTCTTTAAGAAACAATATACGAGATGATTAGAAAAATGTAAAGTTACTATCCCTGTAAAACTGTTTTCAGTGGCTTGTATCTCGTCTGTATAATGACATATTGTAATTTGTAATAACTTAGTTCAATATTTAATACTGTTTAGTTTAAAGATGGTAAATTTTAAGCACAGTTCTGTGCGTTATATGCCAAAATTGTTTTTTTTTGTAAAGCAATTGTTAAGATGTAACTTTAGAGATTCTTTTCAGATTAGCTTCTTAATTTAAAAGTTTTTAAAAACAACATTAGTTACTGCTCTGATATTTTCATATTTTTGCAGATTGCTTAGTAGATGAACAGATGTAAGCAAGTACTTGTTTAGACATTTCTCTGCAATAAATAAAACAATAAAAGTTGATACATAGACAACCCTTTGTCTCGTTAACATTAAAACATTTAAAGTGCGCACTTCAAAGCAGGAGTGTGCAATTTGATTTATGGTCATTTGCAGGCTATTTTCACCATGACTTGAAACTATTATATTCATATGGCTAGTTTGTCCTGGTTCTTGTGGCTGTTTGGAAATGGCTCTTTGTTCTGTTGCCCTATTGATAAATTCACAAATCAAATTGCACGTATTGGTATTCACTACTTTACATTATATATGTAAGTTAGGAGGAACATAGATTTATACTTCATACGCAGTTTTATTACTGCAGTAACTCTGAAACCAGAATGTTTGGAGAAATCTACTTTAGAGTTGATTTTACTCCATCTTTGCTGATTTTTTTTTGTCCTTTATCGATCAAAGCTACTGCAGAAATTTGTTTAGCAGCCTGAGACCAATTCTAGATTGCTGTCATACAAACAGAAAGTGCTGTAGAAAATCAGCAGGTCTGGCAGCATCTGTAGAGAGAGAAGCAGAGTTATGTAGCCTTGAAGTACAATAGATTGACCTAATTTGAGGGGACATGATATGTGAAGAATTAGAATATCAGCACTTGTAATTTCTATGGTTTGTGCAAGAGGTGTCTCCCCAATATCGAGAATTACTTGCCACAGCAAAGAAAGGATTTGAGGTTTAATGGGGTAAGAATGTTTTTTGGATAAGACAAATGTTTATTTCATATTGGCAGCACAGTTGCCGCTTGTCAACAGTGCCACAGTGTGGAGTACACAGTTAATTTATATCCTCCAACACTACTTCAGAGGCCTGGAAATTTGTTCCAAGTCAGTTATACATCCTTGTGTATGGAAGTAGTGCCATGCTGGACTTCTGTCATCGTTATGATTGAGCAGAAGTTCTAGGCTAGAAGTACAGTTAGACCATTGCTTAAATTCTGGGTTCCTGCTATAGGAACAGCATTAGAGACATGGAAAGAATGCAGCAAAGATTGACCAGACTAATAAAAAAACTGAAAGACCTGTGGGTGCTGGAAATCAGAAACAAAACCAAATTACTGGAAAAACTCAACAGGTCTGGAAGCATCTGTGGAGAGAAAGCAGAGTTAATATTTTGGGTCCATTGACTCTTCAGAATAGGTCAGACTGAGACTAAGACTGAAGGTTTTGCTTATTATAAAAAAAAGTTTTAAATGGAACAGAGTAATTAACATAAAATTCCACGTATAAACCCACGGTTTCCACAAAGTCAGAGTCATTCAGCACAGAAACAGACCCTTCAGCCCAACTCATCCATGCTGACCAGATGTCCTAAACTGAACTAGTCCCATTTGCCTGTATTTGGTCCATATCCCTTTAAACCTTAGCTATCCATGTACCTGTCCAAATGTCTTCTAAATTGTTGTAATTGTGTCTGCCTCTACCACTTCCTCTGGTAGCTCATTCTATATACGTACACACCACCCTCTGTGTGAAAAAGATCCCCTGCAGGTCCCTTTTAAATCTTTACCCTCTCACCTTAAACCTGTGCCCTCTAGTTTTGGACTCCCCTACCTTCAGGAAAAGACCTTATCTGTGCCCATCATGATTTGCAAAACCTCTATGAGGTCACCCCTCAGTCTCCTATGCTCCAGGAAAAAAAGTCCCAGCTTCTTCAGCCTCTCCTTATAACTGAAGCCCTCCAGTCTCATTAACATCCTTGTAAATCTTTTTTGCACTCTTTTCAGTTTAATAACATCCTTCCTAATGCAGGGTGACCAGAATTGTATGCAGTACTCCAAATGTTGCCCTACCAGTGTCTTGTACTGCTGTAACATGAATCTCAACTGTACTCATTGCTCTGACCAGTGAAGCCAAGCATTCCAAACGCCTTCACCACCTGTCTGACAGTGAAGCCACTTTCAAGGAGCTATGTACCTGCACCCCAAGATCTCTCTTTGATACCACTTCCCAGGGCTCTACCAATTAGTGTGTAAGTCCTGTCCTGGTTTGTCCTCCTAAAGTGCAACACCTCGTATTTATCTCAATTAAATTCCAGCTGTCATTCCTCAGACCACCGGCCCAGTTGATCAAGATCCCGTTGTATTCTTAGTGAAAACGCCATCTGTCAATCTGCCTCACTACTGATGTGCATTGAATGACGTGAAGTAGCTGCACTTACTGGCCACAATCTTGTCCCTTTCATTCCAAATACACATTTAACCATGTGTGATAAGTGTTAATTACCACCTGTCAAACTCTGGCAACAAAGAATTTTTTTTACAATTTTTTGTTTATTCATATGCACGTCACTGGCCGGCCAGCATTTATTGCTCATCTCTAGTTGCCCTTGAGAAGGTAGTGGTGAGCTGCCTTCTTGAACTGCTGCAGTCCTCTTGCTTTGAGTTGATCCTCAATGCCATTAGGGAGGGGATTTGGGGACTTTGACCCAGTGACAGTGAGCGAATGGTGATATATTTCCAAGTCTGGACGGTGAGTGGCTTGGAGGGGAACTTCAAGGTGATGTTCCCATATATCTGTTGCCCTTGTCCTTCTAGATGTAAGTGGTTGTGGATTTGGTAGGTGCTGTCTGAGGATCATAGGTGAATTTCTGCAGTGTGGACTTCCATGTTTTCAGGTTTTAATTGTTAGGGATTCAAGTGTAAATATTCTAACTTTATAGTTTCTCTTCCTTAATCTTTATTTACTTCCTGTATTTGATTTGAAATTGAATTCATTCACTTCAGATTATACCACCTTCTCTGCCCTTACACTATTTAATTCAGAAATCTTTCAATCTGATTGTTTAAGCAGATAACCGGTGCCTTTCATACCCAGTTTCCCTCACAGCAACATTATTACCTCACACGACAGCAATTTTCCATTTAAACGATTTTAAAAAGATAAAAGTAAAAGGTCAAGAGAAATAAATTATTAGATGTCCAATCTCAACAAACTAAACTATGCAGTATTCACTTTTTTTTAGAAAAAATGTCAATGGATTTTTGCACGTTTCTGCTACACTTTGAAGTGCTGTGCGACCTCGCCCCTGAATGACCTAGCTCTAATTTTAAAATTATACTTTTCATCAGGGGAAATAGTTTCTTTCGAACTGTCCTACTAACTCGTTTAATAATCTTAAACACTTCAATTAAATCATCCGGTAGACCACTTCTTTCAATGTCTTGGCCAAACGTTCTTCCTTCAAACACCATCGCAAAAAAATAGATTTCCCTTTCTATCGTTTGAGAGTCAGGTTTGTGAGACGGGCCAAAAAAAAATGATCCGATGTATGCGACATCTTTACATCATAACTTACAAAACATGTATCCTCATACAGTTTTAAAACCTATAAGGTATACACTGAAATTTTGATTTTACAGATGTACGTTTTCATTTCATTCAGTTCAATGGGCTGTAGAGTTTGGAAAATTTAGATAGAACAGGGATACTAAAAACAAACCAGTGAGAATTTTTTAAAAGGTAGAATCATTTTAGCCACTAGGCGGCTCCTTTAAGCAAAATGAGATCGGGCTGTAATTTACAAACACACGAAGTTGTTAAAATCGAGCAAATTGAGAGGAAAAAAGTACATTTTGAAACGCACGGAGAAATGCGTTTATCTAAGATTCTAAATGTCAGACTTTGCAAAGTTTGCGTTTTCTGAATCCCAACACTTGAAAGGAAAGGATAGTCATGAATATTGAGTAATTGGCATAACTTAATATATTTACGTTAAGTATCGATAGTATTAATTATTATTTCATATGCATATGAAATGCATTCATGTAGTAATTTTCAGAGACAGGATTGTGTGAGTGGCTTCTTGAAACGACCGATTGAAATTGACTGGTTTGATACAGTACACGTGCCTCCTGCAAGCTCCTGCCTCGAAGTTTAATTGGGCTTGAATCTGATCACTGGCGTTCGGATGAAAGTACATTCGGCACCGCTTCATCATGTTGCCAAAGTGGTTCCTTTTTTTAGTTACCGTTTTTTTGTTTTTCGCACCTCTGTGTTCGTCTTGCCCGAGTCGGTGCCTTTGCTTTCGGACCACGGTGCGATGCATGCATTTAATGCTGGAAAACGTCCCCGAGGTTTCCACACAGACAACTATTCTGTAAGTAGCCTGTTGTGCTCCATAAGCCATTTGATTTCGGATCAGCGGCAGATCCTGAATTTTGTGAATCAATTAAGAGGTATCCAAGGTGTATCTTTAGAATGGGCATGAATTTAGGCTAATTTTTGTATCATAGTTTGAATTGGTGTACTTGTACGAGTTAAAAGTTTTCGAAACTTGACCGTGGGACGACTGGCACTTTTACGGTGGCTTGGGAAGAGGAGACGTGTTTCCCTTTTGACGAAGAAAACCGTAATAAGCCAAAAGACTTACCAAACTGAGTATTTCTTTGCGTTAAAGCTTGTCTGTATTGAAGTACGGAGTACTGCATACTGCCTAGCGTCTAGGAGGTTAAAAGGAGGGTTAACTATGAATACTTACTTTAACAATACTGAAAGTACGGAGAACATTTTTTTTCCCACCGAGGTTTCCCAGATATCTTTGATAATTTTTTCCCTTCCTTTGATTTGAGGTTGACTGGGCATGTATCCCCTTCCCCTCCTTTGGTTGAGAGATATATAAAGCAGAGTTTTATTTGTGTGTTAGGAAATTGCTGCAATCACTGGTCAGTTAACATGCTCAGAACCTTAATTGCAAGAGAAGGTTAATGGCAGAAGAAGCAATAGTGGCACATATTTGTTTTCCTTAGCAACAGATTGCATGTTTCTGGGGTTCACGTATAATTTGTGTCACAAAGTGTGCTCCTAAAAGGAGTAAATAAATTTTCATTCATTTTAAACAGTTATTGTTGATGGTGACCTTAAAGTAAGTGGTTAAGACTGGAAATTTCTCTTGATCCTTACTCGTACTTAAAACACAATCAGCTTTACTTCCTTGGCTAGCAGGGACCACAAGTTAGCTTCAGTTCACAAAATATCATACCAGGCCAGTGAGCAACATGTTTGGCTTTCGTTTGGAATTGTATGTG